GTGAGTTTTTTTTCAAATTGAGTCTTTTGGGTGGTAATATATTGGCAACATATTGCCAATAAATTTTAATCTCAATTTGCAATATATCCGCAATGTGAGTGCGGATGTCCTTTTGCCTGTATATAGTGGCAATATATCGGTGACACATTGGAGGTATAAATTGCTAATATACTACAAATATATCGCTGATAGTTTAGATTTTTACGCGGGATGGAAGATAAACATGAGCGCTGACATTGAAAATTGATAGGCTAGAGCTACATCGTGTGCACCATAAGGGGAAAACTTATCATATCTCCATAAGAGGGTAAACAGACGTTCCGAGTCTGAAGGCGCACGCAGAGAGATGTACGCAGATCATACACATACATACCCATACACCCGCTTTGGACGCTCGTTTTTGATTCGACGAAGAAAAAAAAACCTTCTTTCACCAATACATCCTCTTTCTTGTCGTACACGCCGGAGCTCTTTACGCACTCGTTCTCTCGGATGGAACTCTTGACTCAAAACTCGTATATGATATAAGTAATACACGTATAAAACATGCGCCTGCGTGTGACTCTTATCTTCTTAGATTCGCGTTTAATTTTCTTGAAAGGCTTTCATACGTATATGGATGCCCTCGAGTGGAGTTTGATGTACGCGTGTGGTCCCTATCTTATGATATAATACCTATCGATGGACTCGTGTGTATAAATATATATATTTTTTATACTGGCCATTTTACGTCTGTCTCTCTCTGTCTCTCCCTCTCTTATCCATCGCGTATACGTATCGCATTCTTGCGAGCCACGACTCGTGCAGCATACGCTCGGCTCTCCAGCGCACACGTCAAATAGCCTCTTAACGTAATACGATGAATTTCCTCCCTAATGCGATTACGTAAAAAACATATTTAAAGAGCGATGCGAAAATACTTTGTTCGAATTAAAGAAAAATATTCAAAAAAAACAAGAGATGAAGCGTACTTACGTTATATTGGGCTCTAAAGTGAGTATGTGGAGGAGTAATAAAAATGACTATGTTCTGTAGTAATTGATGACTATAATTAAAAAAAAATAAATAAATATATCAAATATTACTATGAAATTATAAAAAAAATCTGACCCTTCCATGAGAAAGTAATTATACCTTGAATAGCAAAACTCGTGATATTTTTGGGTTGATGAATCGCCATTAGATGGCGACCGACGATTTTGTAGCAAAACTCGCAAGAAACAAGAAACTACTCGCGTATATCACATCACCTGTAATATTTCGAACTTGATAATCGTTTTTTTATCATCCATAATATTTCTATCGAACTTGATTATCTATTTTTATATGCTTGTATCACGTGACTAAGAAATGCAAAATTCAAAACAGAGATATTTATATTGCAGCCGGCGCAAGCATGCACATACACAAAGTAAGTGCGGAGAGCGTCAAATTTTCCGCGGGACTTTTCCATATGTAAATATACACGTTATTATAAGAGCTGCGAATTTAGAGTATATACCTACTCTGCGTGAGCTTAAGTCGAGGTACACACGTATGTATCAAGAAAGAGAGAACGAAAGAGCGAAAGAAGTGCTGCAGCAAATATACGCGTAGATATGCATCGCTGAGCAGCGAATACAGCGGCTAAAAATAAAAAAAGAAGATTTTTCAGCTGTAAGCTCTCACTCTCTCTCTCTCTCTCTCTGTCTCTGTCTCTCTCTGTCTCTCTCTCTCTCTCTCTCTCTCTCTCTCTCTTGGCGAAGGGCCGAAACTATATAACAGCACAGCACATGAACGTCGAAAATCCAACTGGTCGGAAGAGAGAGAAAGAGAAAGAGAGAGAACCACCGCCGCCAAACCCTGTATATGCATCGAAGCGGGGTGCTGAACTCTTGAGGATATAATCCAGGGGGCTCGAGCACGCGCGAAATGTATACGTATATGAGAAAATCCACATTGTATCCTGAAAACTACGGCTCAAAATTGGGTCTAAACATTTTTTCAACGGTCAGTGTAACGACCACAGAGAATTGGTTTCTTCAATCACAGAATCGTTGAAACATTCGTGAACAAACGATATTTTGATTATTTTAAGTCGTGATTTATAATTTATTGAGTCTCAATAGTATAAAGTTTCGACTGAAAAAATAAAATAAATTTTCGAACAAACTAATATTGTTATTCACTATGAATTTATAAAACTGTCGTTTCACTGTGTTACGCAATTTATATGACATATTTATAAATAGTAGCCAGTTGATTTTAGTGCAGAGTCAAAAGTAAGACTAAGGAAGTTCTTACATCGATATCTAACTAATAGAATTTACTCCGATAGATGATCATTCAATATCAGTTAACAAAATAAAATGGCCATTACATTTTTAGCCTGAAAACGTAATTTTTTGTATTCACGACCTCTGAGAAAACTTTTCAGCCTTAGTATTCGGGATGAAAGTATGTGGATTTGCTCATATATAAAGAGTATACTGGCGCGAGAGAACTGCACACGCAGACTACGGAGCCCCATCGACTTTCCCAGAAATACGTATACCGATCTTTGCTTTCAGCTTTTCGCTACTACGTACGTATAATACGCCGAGGCTGTTGCTCGATTTATCTCTCTAGATTCATTATGCGTGTGTGTGTGTAGGTTTGGTTATTGTGTTTTGTGCATTTTACGCGAATGCTAATGCTTGCTGCTTGTTACATTCAATTCCTAACTTTTTTATGAGAAGAAGTAGGTATACTCATTTGGTGGTTAAGTAGCTGTAGAAAAATAACTAAATTCCCGCTATGCACGTTTACGTTCGAGGATTTTTGGAACGTCGGGAAGTCAAACAAGTAGTTTTGGTTGCAGATTTGAAGAATATATACATAAAGCTTTAAATCGAGCGTATTAAAACGTTGAGGCGATAAACGAACTAGTTTACTCGACTCAACTATTGCTCTTTGGCCATAAAAGTCGATACAAGCAAGTAGAAAATGCATAGATTCCACGATGTTACGTACAATCATAGGGCATTATGATGTTATTTAGCTCGTGAAAAAATGATTATAATTCAAGCGCATTAGCCTAACGATTCTTACTTTTTTGGGCCAAAAAGTTTGAATGAAGTAAAATGGAAAATTTATGAGCCGTAAAATCATCAAATGAAACGCATCGTGCACTGCACATGCATAAAAAATCGACGACTCCCACATGTAAGCGCCGAAAAGAAGTCTTTTCAAGCTCGTAGTTCAACTCTTGCACTTGTCTCGCTTCAAACACGAGGCCAGGCGTACATAAGAGTAGGATATATAATATACCGAGAATGCAAGTCACCAGCGCTGCACAGAGGATATGCGCACTTCAGAGAGATAAAAAACGAGAGAAGGTATAAGGGTTGGGGTTGAAGAAAGGACTCTGCTGCTGCTGCCACTGCATTGCCTGATAAAATGACAGAAACAAAAAAAAAGAACTGCGCGAAAAGGGTCGCGTGCGATGTACATAAACAAAAGCGCCCCAAGGCTCGCGAAAGGCTTGGAAAACACGGCTCTTGCATTAGTCGCAAAGAAATATTTTCGACTACGAGTCATCCCTTCCTTTCTTTCTTTTTTTTTCGCCGCTACTTTCCGTCATCTTCATACGGGGTATGGCAACTATTGCGGCGAATATATGTACGCCCTCGGACACAACAGCGGCGGCGGCGGCGGCAGCAGTGGCAGCGAAATGCGCTCGCGGAAATTCGAGCATGCGGTGGATATGAGAAAAACTTGCCACAGCTCGCGGCGTCTTCGAGCAAAATTTTCTCATTTTTCGACTCATTTTTTTTCTTTTTCTTTTAAGATCGATGAATCGTGTTACGAGTTGATGAAAAGGTACTTTTTACCGAGTTTAACGAGTGTTTTGTGTAATAAAATCGAGTTTGAACGATATCAACAGATACCATCGCGGCGAGAATGAAATTTGAAAGTTGTCAGTGTTGGAGAAAGATGAAAACTGGTCTTGAAATATTTTACATCAATATTATTTCGCACGAAAAGAGGACGAGGGACTTCTCTAATTCAAAATAAGTGAGGAAGCGTTGGCATTTAGTATAGTAAAACTATTGCGCTCGTCACGGCTTGTGCATACAATCAAACGTGAACGCGCCAAGGTATGCAATATAAACACGAGAGGCAAGTATATTATATTATGAACGCAAACGTCGTCGTCGACAGCTCTAAACCATTGCACACATCTGGCTAAACAAGCCATTGTGCACGTACGTGATTATGTTTCCGCATTTATATACACGTGCGTGCACAGAGATTCGTTTGGCCGAAAGATAAAAGCGAGCTTGACTGAATTACAGCATGCCATATAATAGTAGCTTATAGTGTACATTTTTCGTCGTTTTTGTCCCTTTTTCTTCGCTCAAAAACAATGTCGAATTTTCGCGTTGTAAATGACGAATCCTTATGTGGTATCAGCTTGTGCGTTTAATTCATAGATTAATTTGGTCAATAGAAGGTTAATTCGAATTTTTTTTTATACATTTATGGGACGTTGAAAAGAGCAACTTCAATTTTATCGCTTTGATGTTTAAAAGAGCTTTTCAAAATTTATTCAACTACTGGACTGTAACGGACCGATCTCTGTCCTGGATCTTTGTCGAGCTCCGAGCAGCGATGAAATTTTGAATTCTCCTTCACGCCGTCAAGTTTGTACATCCATGCGTCGGAAAATTATGTTATCCAACGCCTGCAGACTTTTTTCACGCTTTTATTTTCACACACACATACCTATATGAATGGTCTTTGGCCCGCAGCAGCAGCGGCAACTCACGCATGCACGGTATATAGATGACGCCTCTGTGTGTGTGTGCGTGTGTGCGAGTGCACGAGTGTGTGTCGGCGTGCAAAGATTAAAGGCTTATTCACATGACATGTGCGCGCGTGGCACGATGTTTCGTATTTTTGCGCCCTCGCTGATAAGTATAAGAACTTTTCAAAGCTTCATCGCGCGTTCGTAATAACCTCGTCTGGTGCACTCAACTTCTATTATTTTGCCCCTCGTTCCCTTTATGCTCGCACTTTTGAAAGTTAGTCGTAACGTTTTGAAAGGGTACCAGAAATATCTACAAAATCGGTCGGTCTTTGACGGTGGTGTTTGACCGATCCATATTGCTAATATATACCAGGGGTATGTATGAATAATGCGTGTAACTTACCGAGTATTTGACTGAGAACCGTTCGTCCGTCTTCTCCCAGGCACGCGCTTCGAGCGTCGAAAGGATTTGTGAACTGTACGAATGCATAGCCTTTATGCATCGAAATACCTGTAAAACAAAAAATTAATATTTTTTAATAAAATTATTATTTAAAAAGAAAGTACGATTTAATAAGGTTAAGTGGCAAATGATATTGCTAGAAAAAAATTGGTGCTCTTCATTTCTAATAAAACGAGAATGACTAATGTTTATTATGAGTTATCTTACCCGCTAGTCTGCCATAACGCTGAAACATCCTTTCGACGTCTGTTTTGCTACATTGAAACGTGTTGAGATTTCCCACGAAAACTCTCGAATTAACTGCCTGTGGATCTTGAGAGTTTGTTTGGTTTCCCACTTTGCTCATCTTCATCGCCTGAAACACATAAAGCACACACCCACACATTTAGCAATAAGTATAACGCTTTAGCTTATATACGCGTGGGGCTTGAGAGGAAACAATTTTGACTTTTGCACGGGGAAAATTCGTGAAAATTGCACAACGACGATGATGATTATTATATATATTTGAATTGCAAAATTGCACAAACTGCACGGGGAAGCGAAAATTGTGTCAAACTCAGAGACACCTCGAGGGTAATTAGCGGAAGCTCGAGATCCACCAATGACAATCAATGTAAATGCCAATCCGCAAAGAGTCTCTCTCGCTCTCTCGTCTATCGAGGATAACGATATAAGCGCGAAGAAGGCAAGTATATGGAGTACATCCCTCTAGCCTCGCACTTGGCGTACAGAGCACTATTAAGGTGGCGCACTGCTCCATGGTGTACCTCTCTCTATAAACTGTACAAATACGTATATACGCGTGGAGGATCTAGATGTATATATATGTGGGACTAAAACTTGCAAGAGCCGCGAGAGAGTGTATAAGTAAGCGCTCTTCTCTTTCTCTCGCTCGCACCTCCTCTCTGTCGTCGCCACCACGGCTGCTGCCGTTGCTGCTACTGAACGGATGAATATTCATTGAACGACACGCATGAAAATGTCGTCGTCTACTCCCAACGACTAATTACATACACACACACATACACGTACGCATACATGCGAGTCCGCAACAGGAGCAGCGGCAGCGGTACACCCACACGCAGCCTGATGTTATGCATTATTCACGCCGATATAAAGCTAGCAGTGCAAGTGAGAATGGCGCGAGCGAGCGCGAAGCTTTATGTAGCGTATACGTATATATCTGTGTATATGAGTGCGAATATATATATAAGACCTTACGCGCCCGTGCCCGTCGCTACTGTGCAGATATACATGTAAATGTGCGTATATACACGCGAGCTTATATTGCATAATAACGCAAACGGAGAGAGAGAGAGAGAGAGAGGAGAGATCGCCCAGCTGCGAAATTTATGGGCTGTACGCTTTTCGCTCGGTAATTCCGAACTTTGCTCTCTCGCTCGCACTCGCTGCTGCCGCTGCGTATCCAACCCCCGTAGTATACTGTCTATGCGCCGATCGTATAAATATTATTTGCCGCGCGAGCCCGAGAGCTCTATATGCGGGGTGTGAAATCGTGACTCGCGACACCTATTATTATTTTGCTGAGAGCAAGAGAGCTACATTGCTCGTATCATATGCAGCAGCTGCTTTATGTGCGAAAGCTTTCTCTCGCTCTCTCTCTCTCGGATTTTCCACGCGTCGCTTGCGTTAGCGCGCGCACTTCTGCGATCATTTTTGTAAATACGTTTGTCACCGATATTTATGTGGTGCGGCGAAACGAGGAGACATCAACAAGTGTGTGCCTGCGCCTCTATGGGCGTAGATACAAAAAAAAGTTGAAAGGCAAAAAAAAAAACACAGCGCAGCTGCGGCTGAATAGCGTATGCCGACTCATCGAGCTTGCACGAAATATCTATATTATGAAACAGCTGTCGCGATGAATATGCCTTTATACATCGAGTTGGTGGATGCGGTGCGCGGTGCAATGGTGTGTATGGCGTTTATATTTGGATGTATTCCAAAAAAAGCAAAGACTACGCGATGACGACGACGGCTCGAGCTTGCAAGCTCGAGTGTGAAAATGAGGTTACACGATGTGTATACGAGTTATCCAAAGCGGAAATACAAGCACGTATACGAGTAAACCGCCTTTAATGCTCGTAAGATAAGATGATATTCTAAATGCGTTGATGAGTGCAACGCGAGCCGACTGAGACATTTTGGCAAACATTGTTTCTTTACTGGGTGCGCGGTATTTCATGGCAATTTCTTCAAACTTGCGGGTTTCTGACGAGCTGTCAACGACTGCTACACAAGCTGCTCAGAATTTGCGAAGACACTTGTGAAATTTCATCGTTGAAAGCTCATAACAGCCGTTTCTAAGCTAATAGACAAAGAAGAAACACAGAGATTTTTTAGCAGCTTTTTACCATTATACGCGCAATCTTTGATCAAGCCAATCGAGCTTACAACCGCGTTTTTACGTCCCACTGTCGAATATCTCGTTAAACGGCAAAAGTTGTATGAGTTTGAAAAAAAAATTTTACAGCTACGCCAGACGTGCGCCGCACCGTGAATGCACTCGAAATAATGGCATCGCAAGCTTGGCCAAGCTCGGTCGAATTTGGCAAGTCTGTGCAACGCGCGCCAGTATGCTGATTTGTTTGTTTGCATTCGCGATTGTTGAGCTTGTGAATATTGATTCATTCGTAACGCGTAATTATGAGTAATCACGTACTGCGACGCGCGCGCGCGCGCGCACGATCTGTTTTTCAATTTGCATATGGCTAATATGCAGCGCGTGAATATAAAATTTAGAAATAAGCTCTAATCGAACTCTACTCTTTATTTATGAATAATTGAAAATCGTGTGATTTCCATCACCATTTTGGATCATTCGAACATAAGTAAGAGTTTGATTAATATTTATCCGAATAATGAAGATTTGCTAATTTATACGTCGATTGCGAGGACCCGGAGCTGCGTGTGTGTGTGTGTGCGTGTGTGTGTGTACACCTAATTCGTGGTTTGCAAATGATTCCAGCACCAATCACGACGAATTATTCAATTGAAACCTAATAAAGTGATTAACTATTATTGGATGGATCTATAGTCGTGTATCTTTAATGCTAATTAACCGATCGAGCTTATTGTTCACTTATATGCACCGCACATGTACGCTTCTCACGAATTGCCTTGCTCTATTGAATCTTATTGTTATAATCAAGGTAACTGTGTATATTTCATACTTAACCGATATAAAATGACCTTATTAGAAGGTTAGATTTCCGTTGAGTAATTTTTAACTTTAAATGATAATTTTGAATAAAGGTATGTATCTCCTCCGGTCAATAACAGCTAATTCATATGAAAGTCGACTAATTTGAATTATATTAATTTTAGCTAGGTCTTACGAGTGTATAATTAATTCGATATATTTCCGTAAAAATTTCAAAATCTCGATAACGAGGAAATTTACACATTCGCCAATGAATTTTCATTTTAACAGGCGTGTAGTACTCAATTAAGCCCAGGAGCTGCGGAGCTATCTTAAAATGCAAGTCGTAATCAAAGCTCATAGTGCTTTCATTTGCAGCCTGATTGTGTGACTCAGGTGCCGCAGCAAGCAGCTGCTGCTGCCTACTTTGGCACTCTGCAATGGAAAAAAGGTAAAAAAGAAAAAACGAAGGAAGGAGGTGAAAAAAAGCATACACTCATGGGATGAACGAAAGTCTACTAAATATTTCATGGACACTTTCATGGAAAATCTTGTGGCCCGCGCAGCTATTTCATATACATTATTGAGGTTATACTGGGCTGTGGGATGCTAAAAATTCATGAGATAGACTGAAAATATAAAATATAGGCGCAGTCTCGCGTGCGATGTTTTAATATAAATCCTGGAAAATGTTCAAATCTCTACAATATAGTAGCGCTACAATGTCGCACGCACGTGTCTGTGTGTTTGTACATGTATATAGATAAAAATGTGCACGCGCGACGCGATAACGAGACTTTCTCTCCCTCTCTCGCGACTCTCACGTGTGCACGTATGTCACGATATATATAATACACAGTACATACATATAACGCGATGGGTCCAGTAATAACATCACACCGGGGCGCTGCTTCGGGGCGCGAATACAGCGGGACAATTTGCAGTCGCGTCTATATTAGTTTCAGTACAATTTCATATGTAAATTCATGAAGCTTCAAGACTATGCGGAGAGCTGCGAAACGTATACACACTTCATACATACATTGATAAAATTTTGCCGTTTCTCGGGCTCGGTCTGACAAAGGTTAGTATTAATTATACGTATGTGCAGGGCGAGCTCTCGAGGCGTAATAGAATCAAACCGAGTGCAGGTACACACAGATACGTGTATGCGTACGTCACCGTACAGTTCGAGGATTGGAGCGCATCGGCGCGCGCGGTGGCGACGACGACGACCATAGACACAAAATGATATTGCTCGTTTGTAAACTTCAAAGCATTGTCAATGATTCGATTTTGAAAGCCATAGTTCAGGCCATATCGAGACGAAATTCAGCCTGACAGTAATGTAACTTGGTGCGAGGAGCGTTAATACATGTATACAGATGATGAAAGTATGTAACCATTAAAGCGTATCGAAGCAGAGGAGAGAGTGAGAGCTATCGCGAGGGCTCAGAAATTCGAGGAATAACTCGAGAGCTCACGTAGAAATCATATAAAGTTGCACGCCACGTTACACGTAATGAGCCTGCGGTAAAATCGCTTCATGTAAAGTGACATAATTGCGAGCTTTCGAGGCATCTAATACCTATCGTCTGCACAGAGTTATTGAAATCGCAGAAACTCCAAATATAAATTAAAACACGTTATTATGCATTAATTTTTTTTTAATTTAAAACTTTTTAAATTTTCATGACACAGTGGAAAATATTTACATTAAAATTAATGTAAAGGAGAAGGAGACTTTCACGAAAAAAATTCAATTTTATGCAGAAACATAGAAATTAATGATAAAAATTAAATTTGAGAAATTTTCAGAACCACACCATTAAGGGGACCTTCCTCCTCCAAATTGGAAAAAAAGTGTTTCAACGATTTTTTTTTAATATAACAAAATGACGTATCTTAATGAAACTTTTTATACATACTTTATTGACCTTATACTACATAAAAAATAGTTATTTATGCAACAAGTGCCCAAATAGCTGGGCACGTGTTGCATACAAAATTTTATGCAATAGGAGACGAAAAATACTTTCAATTAGATGAGTCATTTTACCGCTCACCCATGTCCAAAATGAGGCATTTTACCATACACCAGTGTCGAAATGAGGCATTTTACCACGTACTAGTGTCCAAAAACGTTTTTTGCGCACTATAAAATGTGCGAAAGAAGACGTTTTTCGTCGTAC